AATAATTATTAAAGGTATTAAGGTAATACTTTTAAAAAAAAAGTAATATATTAAAGTTAATTAATAAATTTAATATTAAAGTTTTAAAAATATATTAACTTTATAATAAGGCTTAGTACTTATATTATAAAATTACTTTAATTATATTAAAAAAATATAAACTAAGGGTTATATAATTTTTTATATAATAATATATATTATATAAATAATTAAAAATTTAATATAATTATAAAAGTTAAAAATAAATATAATTACTTTTATATATTTATTTTATATACTTAATATAAAGCTTTTATAAACTTATTTTTATATTTTTTTACTTTTTTTTACTATTTTAACTTTTAATAATTTAATAATAATTTACTTAATAAAAGTTTACTTATAAATAATTATAACTTAAGTATATTATATATTAACTATAATATTAAAGTAAGTATTACTTAAGCTTAATTAATAAAGTATTTAAAATATTAAGTATATATTTTTTAAATTTATTATATTTAATTTTAAATTTTAAAGTAAAAGTAATTTTAAGCTAAGTAAAGCTTTATATAAAAAAATAATTAAGTAATATTATAATATATTTTTTATTTAAATATAAAGTAATATTATATTAATTATATTTTAAAAATACTTTATAAAACTTAATTATATAATTAAGTTAAAAGTAATTATAATATTATTATAATTAAATATTTTTTATAAAAAGTTTTATATTAAATAAATAAAAATTATAAATAAGTTCTTAATTATATAATTAATTAACTTATATAATTTTCTTAATATTTATTATAAAAAATATATTTATATTAATTTTATAATAATTTTATTATACTTTTATATATATAATATTAATATAATTAATTTTTCTCTCCTGGGTATAAAGGATAAACTGCCTAAAAGCTAAGATTAGAATAATTATTATTAAACCTTTATCTAGTAGCTATTAGCTAGCAGTAGCCTAGCTAATTTACATCTTCTCTTTTATAGTTAATTTAGGTTACCCTCTTCTGCCTTATTTATTCTTTAGGCTCTGGCAGACCTTCTCTGTAGCGCTAATAATATTAGGATTATAAGTTTTCGCAGCAGTAGCTATTATCTTAGTAGTAATTGCCGTCGGTTTCTTATTACCTTTAGCTATTGTGGCTGTTTATAATAGACTTTAGTTAGCTATTAACTTATCTTTAGTTATTGCAAGGGTTTGTTGCTTTTGTAGTGCGTTATCTCGTTGGGTAGTCTTTTGCGTTATATACGTAATCTATTTGCAAGGATTATCGCTGCCTTTTATAACCTAACGGAACGATGCAACAGCCTATCTAGTCTAGTTAAGTTATTAAACTATAAGTTGCGGGCTTAAAGCTTGCGTTATGCTTAAACCTTGTTGTTTAGGCCTTTTTGCGTATTTTAAGTTTGGTCTTAAACCTTAATTGGTTATACTTTATAGCCTGAATCTTTGAGGTTTAACTTAGTCAGCTGTGGCTAATTAGGTTAAGCTACGGATTGATTTTAGATTTTGAACTAAAGGCTGGGGTATAGCCTTCCTCTGACCTAGCTGTTGTAGCTTTACTGAACCTTTTAATAATAAATATAACCTTTATAATTGATTTTTTTAATTTAATTTTTAATTTATTATTTATTTTATTTTATAAAAATAATAAAAAAAAGTATTTAATTATTATAAATTAAGTTTTATAAAATAACTTTATTTTTAATTTAAAAATATTTTAAATTTAAAATATATTACTTTAGTATTTTTCTTACTAAATTTTAAAATATAATTATTATATTTTTACTAAAAAATTACTTTATAATTATTACTAAATTAAAGTTAATAATTATATTAATAACTTTAATTATTTATTTAAAATTATAGTTTTTAAAAACTTTAGTTATTATAATACCTAAAATTATTACTTTTTTATTTTATTAAATTAAGATTATTTTTAATAAAAAAATTATTTAAGTTTAATTAAAAAATACTATAAAAGTTATATTTATTATTAAAAAGTTTAATAAAACTATAATAACTAAGTTAAAGAAAAATTATACTTTAGCTTTTAGTTTAAAATCTAAAATTAATTTATAACTTAACTTAATTAACTATAGTTAATTAAGTTAAACTTTAGAAATTTAGGCTATATAATATAATTATTAATTAAAATTTAAAACTAAACTTAAAATATATAAAAAAGCTTAAATAATAAAGTTAAAGTATAATATAAACTTTAAGCTTATAATTTATAATTTAATAACTTAATTAAACTAAATAAGTTAATTATTTTATTAAGTTATAAAAAGTAATAATAATTTTTAAAAATAAATTATATATATAATATAAAAAACTACTTAATAAAATAATATATTATAAAACTAATAAACCTTTATAATAATTACTATTATAAATAATTATAATAGCTAAAAGAAATAAAAAACTAATAGTAATTATTACTAAAATAATAATTATTATTATAAAAACTTATAATCTTAATATTATTAATATTATAAAGAAAGTTTACTAAAGCTTAAAAAATAAATATAGTAAAAAAGGGTAACTTAAATTAATTATAAAAAAGAAAATATAAATTAACTAAGTTATTATTAAGTATAAGAATTAATAAAATATTAGTTAATAATTATTAAATAAAAGTTTAATAATAATTATTTTAATTTTAGCTCTTAAGTAATTTATATTTTATACTTAAGAGAAATATAAATATAATATAATATAATTTTTATTATATATATTTTATTATAAATAATTTTATTTATATATATAATTTTTTTTAATTTTCTTTTTAAACTTTAGCTTTTTTAAATAATTTTCCTTTTTTAAAACTTAATGTTTTTTAATATTTCTTCTTTTTTAAAACTTAGCTTTTTTAATACTTTTTTTTTTAAAAATTAATTTCTTTTAATACTTTTTTTTTAAAACTTAGCTTTTTTTAATACTTTTCCTTTAAACTTTAATTTCCTTTAGTATTTTCCCTTTTTTTTAATACTTTTTTTTTTAATATTTTTCTTTTCTTTTAATATTTTTTTTAAAATTATTTCTAAGGGTTTAAAATAATAAACTTAATTATTTTTAATAAATAGTTCTTTTTCCTAAGTATAAAAAATAAATTACTTAAAAACTAAAATTAAAATAATTATTATTAAACCTTTATTTAGTAATTATTAATTAATAATAACTTAATTAATTTATATTTTTTTATAATTAATTTAAATTACTTTTTTTTTATTTATTTTTTAAGTTTTAATAAAACATTTTTATAATATTAATAATATTAAAATTATAAATTTTTATAATAATAATTATTATTTTCTCTCTTAAATATAAAAAATAAATTACTTAAAAAAACTAATTATAAAAAAGCCTTTATATATATTTTTAATTAATTAACTAGTTTAATTAATTATATATATATAACTATATAAATTTTACTTATTATTTTAAGTTATTTTATTAACTTTTTTAATAATTTTCTTAATTTTTTTACTTAACTTAGGGTTTTTAATACCCTTTAGTTAATTTAGCTTATATTTTACTTTACTTAATTTTAGTTTTTTTTTAAAGTTTTTAATTATAAATTTATAATTTTATTAATTATAAATTTAGTTATTTACTTAGTTATTTTACTTAAGTTAAAGTTAAGTTATAGCTATTACTTAAGAG